ATGTTCAGACTGGATTTGGCATTTGTCTACCTATCGAGTCCTTACCCAGGACCTGGGATAGGCAGATGTGGATGTTTGATGGTATTACAGGTATCGTCGCAGGATGGAAGCAGTTCCTAATAAGGCCGCCTTTTGCAATTGACTAATAGCGAATTTGTCAATGCCAATGGTGTTCAAGTGGTGCTCCAGTTGTTTTGGGATTGCACCCAAGGAGCCTATGACTATTGGTACTACCCTTGCTTGCTTTTGCCACAGTCTTTCTATTTCTATTTGTAGGTCTTTGTATTTTGTTATCTTCTCCAGTTCTTTCTCGTCTATTCTGCTGTCTCCAGGCACTGCCACGTCCACTATCCAGACTTTTTTGTCTTTCTTATCGACAATTGTTAAGTCTGGGTGTTATGTTGCAGGTGCTTGTCTGTTTGAATTCTGAAGTCCCAGAGCAGTTTAATTTTATCATTTTCTATGACTTTCTCTATTTTATGATCCCACCAGTTTTTGCTTACAGGCAAATGATATTTTTTGCAGATCTTCCAATGCACCATTGTTGCTACTTTGTCATGCCGCTGCTTGTAATCAGTCTGTGCAATCTTCTTGCAACAGCTTACCAAGTGGTCCACTGTTTCTTCAGCTTCTTTGCATAGGCGGCACTTACTGTCTGTTGCTGTCTTCTCAATTTTGACTTTGTATGCATTTGTCCTTAAGGCTTGGTCTTGTGCAGCCAGAATTAGTCCCTCGGTCTCTTTCTTCAATTTTCCTGCTCTTAGCCATTGCCAGGTTTTATTATTATCTGCTTTCCCAGCTATTTTTTTAATGTATTGGCCATGTAGTGCTTTGTCTTCCCATGCCTCTATTCTGTTCTTCATTTGGTCTTTCTTGTAGGCCAGTTTGGTCTCTCCAGTAGTTAGTAAGCCTTCCTGATATACTAATTTCAGTGCATCTTCATCATTGTTCTTCAGATATTCTTCCAAAGTCATTTTTTCTTCTTCAACCATCTGATGTACTTGTAGCATTCCACGCCCACCTATTTGCCTTGGTAGATAAAGTCTATCAATGTCACTGCGTGGATGAAGGGCATGATTCATTGTCATTATTTTTCTGGTCTGCCTATCCATTGCTTTTAGTTCTGCTTGAGTCCAGTCCACTATTCCAGCTGTGTACCTAATGACTGGGATTGCCCAGGTGTTGATTGCCTTTATGGTATTTCCTCCATTGAGTTTGGATTTTAAGATCTTCTTCACTCTCTTGATGTATTCACCTCTAATCTTTTTCTTGACTTCAGTGTGCTTGATGTTGTCAGCTTGAAGGATACCCAAGTATTTGTAGTATTCTTCCTCATCCAGACTCTTAATGTTATTTTCGTGGGGCATCTTGATTCCTTCAGTTTTCACTATTTTTCCTTGTTTGATAGTAAGTGTGGCACATTTGTCCAAGCCAAACTCCATTCCAATATCTTGGCTATATATACGGACAGTGTTGAGCAGCGATTCTATTTCAGATGATGTTTTTCCATACAGCTTCAGATCATCCATGTAAAGGAGGTGGGATAGTCTAGCAGATGTTTTTGATGTTTGATAACCATGTCCTGAGTTATTCAGTATTGTTGACAGAGGAAACAGTGCAATAACAAATAGTAATGGTGATAATGAATCTCCTTGAAATATTCCTCTCTTGATATTAACCTCTCCCAGCTTCTCACCATTGATCTGCAACTGTGTCTTCCATTGTGCCATCGATCTTTGCACAAATTTTCTGATGTTTCTACTGACTCCTGTTATTTCTAGGCACTTTATTATCCAATCATGTGGCAGAGAGTCAAATGCCTTTTTGTAGTCAATCCATGCCACATTCAGGTTGGTTTTCCTTCTCTTGCAGTTTTCCAAGATCATTTTGTCTATTAGGAGTTGATCTTTTGTTCCTCTGCTATTGGGGCGGTTTCCTTTCTGCTCAGGTGGAAAGAGATTGTTTTCAACTAGATGCTGTTGTACTGCATCAGCTACCACACCAGTTAGTAATTTGAATGTTGTTGGTAAGCAGGTAATTGGCCTGTAGTTACCTGGTGTTGCCCCTTTTGCTGGATTTTTCATTATTAGGTAGGTTTTCCCAGTTGTTAGCCACTTTTCAATTTCTCCTCCTTGTAGTATATTGTTGAACTGCTTGGCAATGAGTGGGTGTATAACAGTTAGATGTTTCAACCAAAACCCATGCAGTTCATCTTCACCTGGTGCTGACCAATTTTTGATTTTCCTTGCTCTTTTTTCTACCATTTTTGTTGTTATTACTAGTTCTTTCATTTCAACTTCTGTTTTATTTGCATCCACCTCTTTTAACCAAGCTGCATCCTTGTTGTATTTCTTTGGTTATCCCATATCTGCTTCCAGAATTGCACTGTTTCTTCCTTGTCAGGTACTGACTGATTCCTTGCAGTTTCTCCATTGATGGATTGGTAGAAACGTTTCTGATTGGATTGAAATTGGAGGTTCTGCCTATAGTTTGCAATTCGAGCTTCATATCTACTGATTTTCCTGGCTATAGCTGTTATTTGTTGCTTTATTATTTCCAGTGCTTCCTTGATCTTCCTTGTTTCTAAGTGGTATTTCTTGATTAGGTATTCTTTGGTCTTCTTGTTCTTCAGCTTCTTTTCTTTCATCTGTTCTAGCTTGCTTGCATGTGATCTTAACTTGCTGATCTTATTTTCTAGTCTAACCTTCCATTTTTGTGGTGCACTGTTTGTTTGTTTTTCTTTTTTGTTGATTTTACATCCCAGGTATTCTGTTATAACTGCAGCTGTGCTGTACATTAGTTGGTTTGTTATTATTATTATTATTATTATTATTATTATTATTATTATTATTATTATTATTATTATTATTATTATTATTATTATTATATGACTCTGGAACACTGTCGTATATGCTGGTGGTCAAACGACCGGATTTTGATGAAGCGGTCACAGGGATGCAACCGTCATATGTGCGAAGAACAGCCATAAGTCACTTTTTCAGCATTGTTGAAACTTCAAATGGTTGTTAAACAAATGGTCATAAGTCAAAGATTACCTATACTTCAGCTTCCAGTAACAATTTCCTCCCTCAGAAATTTTTGCTTTCTGAAAGTGAAGATTTTAGCTTGTGACTTGATCAAGATGGATTGGCATTGATGCAAAGTCTTCCCCCAGCTCTCTTCCCCATTATTTTTTATTAGACTTGACTGGCCATATGGCTAGCCTGAATTACTTACATTAATTTGAGAGGAATATTCATTTTATATTCTTCCTTTTTGCCTATGCTCATTAAGTGGCAGTGTCTAACTCACAACAGTGATTGATCTCAAAGAGCTAAGAAAGTTCATATCTGTTGTCTTGAATAAATAGTACTTGAGTGAAAGGTGACCAGACATAGCATTTGAGAGACAAGAGATGGAATACTAGTTTCAAATATCTCGTATACAGGTAGTCCTCGACTTACAACAGTTCGTTTAGTGACCGTTCAAATTTACAGTGGCACTGGAAAAAGAGACTTAGGACTGTTTTCACACTTACGACCGTTGCAGCATCACATAACAAAATTTGGAATCTCGGCCACTGGTTCATATTTACGATGATTGCAGTGCCCGGGGGATACGTGTTCGTCTTCTGACAAGCAAAGTCATTGGGGAAGCCCGATTCATTGAGCAACTGTGTTACTAACTTAACAACGGCAATGATTCACTTAACAACTGTGGCAAAGGTCATAAAATGAGGCAAAACTCATTTAACAATTGTCTCGCTTAGCAACAGAAAGTTCGGACTCCATTGTCAGAAGTCAAGGACTACATGTATATAGAAAAAAGGATGTTCTTCTCAGTACTAATATTGAAGTGCTTCCACGGTGAAAGGATTTGCTGGTGACATCGCTGTGTCCCCCAGGAATGCCCAGTTGGGGACTCCTTTCAAATACGTTGCCCCCCCTCCAAAGTGGTATCCGTTTATCTACTCACCATCACTCGCTTTTGAACCGCTGGGTCTGCAGGAGCTGGAGCATGTGACGGGAGCTCATCCTGACCTGCGGCAGCACCTGGTCTCAAACACGAGCCTGCCGATCATCAGCCCAGCATTTTAACCTCATGAGCCACCGAGCATCTCCCCTCATTGAGCTAGATAAGTGGGGGCTTCATGGTGACATCCCTTCATGTAGTTTTCTTGACCACAGTAAAGAAATGTTTGGCCACTGATTTTTTTCTGGGATTTTTTTTTTGTTGTTGTTGTTTTGTTTTAACATTCGAATCTAGGTTAGAGTCCTGGGCTTTTGTGATAGGTTCATATTTTATAACTCACCAGATTTCTGGTCAGTTTCTCATTCCAGGCAAGGATACTTTATATGAAATAGAAGACATGTCCTATTGTGTAGTGCAGTGGTTCTCAACCTGTGGGTCGGGACCCCATTTCACGGGGGTTGCCAAACAACGGAGTCTGCCATTTTTTCCCCCCTTTTCCTTAGCTGTGCTACTCCCTTTTATTCTATTGGCTTTTGAAAGCCAATAGAATAGACTCTCTTGAATAGAGTCTAATTCTATTGGCTTTCAAAGCCAATAGGAATTGTCCAGGCTGTCTCTGCCCTGCTGAGCCCGCCAAAAGTCCCATTCTGCAAACGGTGCTGCACCAGCTGAGTAGTCCTCGACTTACGACCGGTTGAGTAGTCCTCAACTTACGAACAGTTGGGGGTCACGGCATTAAAAAAGTTGAGAACCACTGGTGTAGTGGGTTTTGAAGGCAATAACCAGACCAGTATTATGCAAAAGTGTTTATTCAACCAAGAACAGAACTGTCAAACACTGGCAACATGCCTGCTATTTATACGTTTCGCCTCTAGGGCATCAACCAATCACAACGCTAGCTTGTTCCCGCTCAAACTTGAATCTTTTGACGTTTCCCTCCAAAACTGTTGGAGGTAGCCTAGCTTTACAGCACCATAATATCAGTATTAATACATAACATGTCCTTTTCTCTCTCTTTCTTTTTACAGCCTCTCCCTTTCAGATTTTCCTCATCTCTCACTTGGAACAAGCTCATCAGATCTGGCCATGGTTACTCGGAGCTGGTGTGATTGGTGCCATAATAGCAATGGCCATCAAAGGACTTGTCGCATTAGGAACTCGAAAGAAGAAAAGAAACACAGAAGAGACCCAGCTTTTACTCACAGAGGAAGAAAATTATCCGCACATTAAGTATCAGTCACACTTATAAAACCATCCCGGTGCAGACACCTAAAGCTATCTTTGTGATGATGTCCCAAGGGTGCTTTTTCAAAAGGCAATTGGACTTTGTTTTTCCTTGAAGATGTTTCACTTCTCATCCAAGAAGCTTCTTCAAATCTGGCTGAATGGGGGAGGATGGAAGGATTTATATTCCTTCTAGTTATCTGGTTGTTAGCGCTCTTTCTGAGAGTTGTTGAGGCCACTCTGTGCCCTCGGGGTCACCTGAGTAGTGCAAATGGTTGTGGAGCCTTCTTAGAACTGCTGAAAGAACTGTGTCGTAAACAGGAGCTATATGGTGTCATTTCCTGTTTACAACCCAGTCAGGACCATTCAGCAGAATTGAAGAAGCTTCTTGGATGAGAAGTGAAACATCTTCAAGGGGAAAAAAAAAAAAGAACAGTTGCCTTTTGAAAAAGCACCTTTGGGACAACCATGGCCTGGAAGATTGAGAATCTCCATCAACATCTGTGATGACATCTTTTGAGGATTCCCAAACTTGGTGGGCTGTGTCCCTATTTACAAAATATTTTTCTATTCAATATTCCTCCTCCTCTACAAAATAGTTGTCATTATGTGTGATCTTTGCATTAAGCCTCTCCGGTGGATTTCAAAACAGGTCAAGAAATGTGAGAAACCCTTAATAATCCCTGGGGAACTATCGTTTGGATCCCTATCCTGATGTCACTCCATGTTAAACTTTGAGAAAAGACCAGCAGATGACACACGAGATCTGTTGGATTCCATTGACCCTGGCCTGTAAATTCAAGTTATTTTAAGGTGCTAATTGAAATTAAAGTCATTGAAAACTGTCTAATAGTCATTCCTAAGCTGACTTTCAGGTCTCCTTTATATCTGCAACAAAGTTGGTGGAGTGGTGATGAAAGGATAAAGGTTTTCTTTTTTAATGTATGTTTGTGTTGTCTGAATGGCGCATATTATGTTGCATACTAAGGCTTATCAAGTGCGCAGAGGAATATGAGCTACATATTCTTCCTGTTCCAAAAGGCAAATGGACTTTCTTGGTTTTTTTCTATGAAAGCATTTCACTTCTTAACCAGTTATAAAGAAGCTTCTTGAATGAGAAGTGTGTCAGAGCGTGCAGTCTTATTGCGCTGAGATAACCCAGGAGTAAACACAGTAAACAGTGGTCTATATTAAATGGTGGTTTATCTTACACTATCTATAACAGGGGTGTTAAACTCGCAATGTCACATGACATGTCGGGATGTATAGCAACTTTTTTTCCATTGCTGGCAATGGGGTGGGTGCGGTTTCACTATAATGCATCCGGCCTGCAGGCCAGCAGTTTGATACCCCGATCTACAATATCATACACCAGGAACAATATACATACACGTGCTAACACAGCAGGCTACAACACACAGCATTTACAGCAGGAAAACGAAAGAGAACACAGCAGCAGAGCCTTCCTTTTACACAAAGGCTCTTAAATGGACACAGACCCTGCTGAGTCATTCCCATCATTACATCATACATCTACATTATACAAGCTGGTTAGCTGTTAAATTATTACCTTGACAAAGTGAAACATTTTCAAAGAAAAAAAAAAACAGGAAAGTCCAGTTGCCTTTTGGAAAAGAAACACCTTTGAGACAACCATGACCTGGATGATTAACGATCTCCAAGTTCTGAGATTAATGAAACAAATAAAAATGGACTTGGAAAGATGGGAAAATCTTCAATTATCACTTTTAGGAAGAATAGCGACAGTTAAGATGAACATTTTACCAAAGCTCATTTTCTTATTTCAAACAGTGCCTGTTAAACTTACTAAGAATTTTTTTGATGATTTAAATGCAATGATTTTAAGATTTATATGGCAAAAAAAGAAGGCAAGAATCAAATGTAAATTGTTACAAGAATCTAAGGATAGAGGGGGCTTTGGACTTCCAGATTGGAGACTTTACTATCAAGCAGCTATTTTGCTTTGGCTTAAAGAATGGATTGTATTGAGAAATAAAAGATTGCTTTATTTAGAGGAACATGACCTTCAGCTAGGTTGGCATGTTTTTATATGGTATGAGAAATCTAAAGCACATAAGTACTTTCACAATCATGCGATAAGAAACGTACTACTTTCAGAATGGGAGAAAATTAAACATAAAATATACATGAAAATACCTGAGTGGCTTTCAACAATGGAAGCATTTGCTTATCCAAATCTGATTAATTATGACAAACTGGTTAGTTATAAAGATATTTTAGATAAAGAGGGAAAACTTAAGGACAGGCAAACTTTACAATTACAAAGTATTGATTTGACATGGTGGTCCTACTTGCAAATTCAAACAAGATATGAAAAAGATATAAATCGACAGGTTTTTACAAAGAACAGACCCATTGGATAAAATTTTGTTAAAAACAGATGAGAATTTTATTAGAAAATTTTATAAATTTCTTCTAAACTGGAAGATGGAAGAAGAACAAGTGAAAGAAACAATGATAGTATGGGCAAAGAACTTTGGATATTCTATAAATTTGGAAGACTGGCAAAAACTTTGGGATAAAAACATTAAGCTTACAAAAGCAGTAGCATATAAAGAAAACTCATATAAGATGGCATATGACACCAGTTCACTTAGCGAAAATGTTTAAAAATATTTCGGATATTTGCTGGAAATGTAAACAACAACCAGGCACTTATTACCATGCCTGGTGGATATGCCCTATCGCTAAGAAATATTGGTCTAAGATTCATAGATGGTTGGAAAAGATGATGAAACTACAAATAGAATTTAAACCAGAATTGTTTTTGTTAGGAATAATAAGACCTAATTATGGTAAAGAGAATGACTACTTGATATTGCATGTTTTAACTGCTGCAAGGATAGTATTTGCCCAATTTTGGAAAAATGAGAATCTACCATCTGACCAGATTATTATTACCAAAATTCTAGAGTGTGCAGAAATGGATAGACTAACATTAGAAATGAAAGAAAAAAGATGATTCAATTTATTTTAGAACTTGAGAAAAATTTTATCAATGGTTAGAGACACATTAGAACTTGAAGGATTTAATATTTTAGAATAGATGACTGATTTTTAATCGAGCTCTAACTAACATTTTGATGACACAATTACTTTTCCTGATTTCCTGATTTTCATTTGTTACTTTTGATTGTTAGGATTTATTTTCTTATTTTTTTTGTGTGATTTTATTAGTAGTATTTACTTAATAGATCAACGTATTTGTTTACTAATTATTTTTAATATGTTACAGTTTAAGCTTTGTTAAAAATGGTTGAATATGATACTTACTCATTATTATGAACCGGACGGTTGCTTGTTTGTTGAAATATGTGATTGTACCTATCCTTATTTTACCCTAATTCCTTATTTTCTTCCCCTCCCCCTTTCCTTTTACCCTTCCCTTTACCACACCTGTATTGTTCCTATTTTTCCTTACCTATATAAATTTTGTTTTAAAAAAAAGGATCTCCAAGTTCTTCTTCTTGTGCCATAATAGCTGGAGAAATGAACCATCGAGTGATGATGGGAATATTCACATGTATTATGAAGTTTTGAAGTCATAGCAATTATCAATTTTATAAATTTTTAAACAGAATATTAAACAGAATATTTCTGTTTAATTCCTGTGTTCCAACCCCAATTGGCAATTGAGGTTGGAACACAGGAATTAAACAGAAATATTCTGAATCACCTTTTTTTGATCCCACTCCATTTTTTTTAGAGAGGAGGATAATTAAGTAAAACTATGAAGAGTTAGGATGGATTCAGGATTCATTAGATATGAGGAACCAGGTAGTCCCATCAAACAAATGCCTTATATTACTTGCACACACCCTACTTTGTCATATTACACAGCAATCATCTTTTATTTCAATATTATCCAAAGGCATCTCCAGATTGTCTCGCTCTGGAATCTGCTTCATGACTCTTTGTTCTGCACACTGTAATCTGTAGGCAAATACTGAGTTGATTTATTTCTGACTTAGCTGGCATGTACTGTATCTCAAATTACTAAAAAAAAAATGTTCTAATTGCAGCAACAGTGCTTTGAGGAGCTTGCGGGTGATCCATTGGAAAAGATTCTTGCCTCTCTCCTTCTTCTGGTTCAGTGATGGCGAACCTTTTAGAGACCGAGTGCCCAAAAACTGACCCGCCTCTGCCCCCACCCTGCCCACTCTGCTCCACTCCGCCCTGCCCTACCCACCTGCAGGGCCACTCACTACCTCCATGGCCACCACAGATCTCCCAGGCAGCCCTGCAGTGCCATGGTGGCCATGCCCTCCACCCATGCCCTGCAGCATTATCTGGGGCATGAGGACGGAGTCTTGTCTCTGCTGCCCGGTTTCTATGTGCTTGGCTGCACTGCTCCGCATGGGCCACACATGGGGACCTCTCCTCCGGGGGGGGGGCTGGTGAAGAGGAGGCCGTGGGGAGAGGTGGTGCTGGGGCGACGGCACGTGTGCCCACAGAGAGCATTGTCGCCTCTGGCACGCGTGCCATAGGTTTGCCACCACTGTTCTTGTTATGTCCTGGGCCTGCTGAATCACTCAGCAGGTGCAGGAAGCTGCAAAAGGCCCGGGCAGACCACGTGGATGCATGCGCAAGTCGGGAGAAGGCACTAACTAACAAAATGAAATTCAATGGTGAAAAAAGCAAGGTTCTACATTTAGGCAAGAAAAACCAAATGCACAAGTACAGCATAGGTGGCACCATGCTCAATAGTAGTAACTGTGAGAGGGACCTCAGAGTCCTAGTAGACAATCACCTAAATATGAGCCAGCAGTGTGCTGCAGCTGCTAAAAAGGCCAACACAGTGCTAGGCTGCATTAACAGAGGGATAGAATCAAGATCACGTGAAATATTAATACCACTCTACAGTGCCTTGGTAAGGCCACACTTGGAATACTGCATCCAGTTTTGGTCACCACGATGTAAAAAAGATGTTGAAACTCTAGAAAGAATACAGAGAAGAGCAACAAAGATGATTAGGGGACTGGAGGCTAAAACATAATAAGGAACGGCTGCTGGAATTGGGTATGTCTAGTTTAATGAAGAGAAGGACGAGGGGGGACACGATAGCGGTCTTCCAATATCTCACGGGCTGCCACAAAGAAGAGGGAATCAAGCTATTCTCCAAAGCACCTGAAGGCAGGACAAGAAACAATGGATGGAAACTAATCAAGGAAAGAAGCAACCTAGAACTAAGGAGAACAATCTGCCTCCAGAAACGGTGAATGCTCCAACACTGGAAGTTTTTAAGAAGAGACTGGACAGCCATTTGTCCGAAATGGTATAGGGTTTCCTTCCTGAGCAGGGGGCTGGACTAGATGATATCCCAGGTCCCTTCCAACTTTATTATTATTATTATTATAAATACGTTGCATTGATTGACTGTTGTTACTCCTGCCTCGTCTCAATGCCTTTACATCGAAAACAGAACAGTTCTGGTTCCTAACGGGTGGCAACTGGTAGAAACTAATCAAGGAGAAAAGCAACCTAGAACTAAGGAGAAACTTCCTGACAGTGAGAACAATTAACCAGAGGAACAACCTGCCTCCAGAAGTGGTGAATGCTCCAACACTGGACGTTTTTAAGAAGAAACTGGACAGCCATTTGTCTGAAATGGTGTAGGGTTTCCTGCCTGAGCAGGGGGTTGGACCAGATGACCTCCAAGGTCCCTTCCAACTTTACTACTGTTATTATTATAAATACGTTGCATTGATTGGCTGTTGTTACTCCTGCCTCGTCTCAATGCCTTTACATCGAAAACAGAACAGTTCTGGTTCCTAAGCTTCCCTGGGCTTAAAGCAGAAAGATGGTATGCCAGTTTCACACATTTATAGATATTCCTCGCCTTGCAACCTTCAGTTAAGTGACTGTTTGAGGTTACAACAGTACTGAAAAAAAGGGAATTATGAGTATTTTTCATACTTGTGACCATTGCAGCATCCCCATGGTCATGTGATCAAAATTCAGACCGCTTGGCAACTGACTCATATTTATGACAGTTGCAGTGCCCTGGGGTCACGTGACAAGCAAAGGCCCAATGGGGAAGCCAGAGTCACTTTGGGAAAAAACGATGAGCCATTAAAGCAAGGATTTGTAACCTGGAGGACTGATGTGAAAACGTGGAATTTTGTGACGAGCCAATACATTGGAGTCAAAAATATGTCTAGAAATGCAGGTAGTC